ACAGGTCATGCTTTCTTATCATTCTTGTTACTAAATCTACTGAACCTAAATCTACCTAATATTTCTTAAACTGTGGGGCTCAAAAGTGGACACAGTATTTTGGCTGAAAGTCACAACAGTAAGGGGTAGAGGTAGAGGAGAATCATTGTTGCTGAGTCTAATACACACCACTCCTGTTAATACAGTGCAATTGGTAATTTTGTCTTTTTTACCATTCCCCCAAAACAGAAATTCTATGGGTTTAATAAAAACATATTTTTGACTGAAAAGGAGATATATTTTTGAGTGAAAACCACAATATTTGCATATATTTTACTTCAGTTCAGCCAAAGTTCAGCATTTGTATCAAATCATGTGAACACTCTGGTAGTCCCAAGTGTTGAGGAGGAGCCAGGTCACTTTCTAAATATTTTGAAATTTGTGAAAGAAATGATTTAGAACTGAAGTAAATGACAACATTCCTCCCCCCCAAATAATATTTCAGCAAAATGTTTGTAAGTTATCCTCTTGGCACTGATTGAAAAAGTACAACTCTGTGAGATAAAGACCAGTTCCAGGGTAAAACTTTTCCCTTTTCAAAACTGTTCTTAGTTTTGCCAGGATTTACCATCCATCCATCCATCCATCCATCCATCCGCTTAGCCTTTCTTATCTGTCTTTGGGTCCTATGACTATAGTACCTGCATGCTTCAGAATTTGTAATGTTTTTATCCTTGTAACAAACCTAAGAAGTGGGGGGATGTGTTGTTATTCCCATTCTGCTTTGCTTTCTTTGACTTAGTCTTAAGGTTACAGTAATGGCAGATCATAAGAGTCTGTGTATTAATGTTCTTTCAGGACTCAAGTAAGGTGCCATCTAGTAAATAGAACAGGATCTGGACCTAAGTGGTTTGCCCAAGGTTATACAGGATATCCATGATAGAACAGAGATCGCAACTGAGGTTTTCTGGTTCCAGGCATATATTATAACCACAGAGAGCCATCCTTCCTCTCCATAGAGCAGATAGGCTGTATTTTCTCCCATTTTACCTTCCACTGACTTCAACTAAGTTACACTAAAATAAAACTAGAGTAAATACTGCAGGATATCCAATGCTTTTATATACATAACTAGAAATATACTAGGGCACTACTTATTGAGCCAAAGATAGTGGGAGAATTTCCTGTCACTCAAGGAAATGATTTGTATTCTGGGAGATCCTGGAGATGGCTGAGTTTACCAGTGTTCTGAATGAGCTCAGGAGAGAGGTCTGCCAGGGCTGTGTCAAGTCGATCCTCATGGATATATGACCTCCTTGAAAGAAGGCTGTGTAGGAAAAAACTGGTAGGGAGCTTCAGGAACAGGGAGGAACATTTGTATCCTCTGCAGGAGATCTGACCAGGCGTGCCCCTTGCTTTCTGTTGCTTTAAAGGTTTGCTGGAGTTTTCACCTAATCATCTGCTCGAACATCTTGAAAATCAGTATCTCTTTCTACAATATCTATCCAAAACAAACACCAGATGACACTACACGAGTTGCCCTAACCCTACCAGATTGTTGCTAGAATCAAAATATGTAGCAGTCTACAGCTAACAGGAAGTACTGTATTTTTACAAGCATAATGGCCACTAATGTGGCAATTACACACTGTATGCAAGAAAGTATTACTACATGATGAAAGCCACCACATTTCAGAGATTTCCCAGTCCCAAAACTACAACTATCTGAAAGGGGCAAAGATAGCCTCACCTCCTTATCATTCTTAAAGATCAAGACTTTTAGAGATTCTCCCTAGATAACATGCAACAACTGCACTGACCCCTGTTGTTCCACCTTTCCCCTGACAGCTTTGTTTAAAAGCTTTTACTTGTATTTTATGAAATAAGACTTTTCTCCAAACCAGTGGACCCCTTCCTTGAGCAAACTGACATGCACAGGTAAGTTTTACTACTTGTCCAGTGATGAAGAACCCATTTTACACCTAAGCAAAAGCTAAAGACAGGCGTTCCTCAAGTAAAATGGTTCAGTGTGCAGAATCTGAATGTCCTACTGCCAGCAGTTACAAATCCCTAGTGCTGGGGACAGCACCTTCTATTTTAGCCCATGAGCTATAGGAGCAGCTATTGAGGTATTGGCCAGTGTCCACCTGCAGGATGTGAAGAGGATTCTGCCTCTCCTGTTCTTCTGATCTTCTCCTGTTCTGTGAGGTAGTCCTGGGTATAGCCTACTCACTTGTGACTCAGTTTCCACATGTACAGAATGGGCATAATTCTATTGCCCCTGTCCTGGGGGAAGAGGGGTGGGGGCACAAGTTCGAAACTAATCTTTGCAAGTTGCTTTGGAGTTCCAAGGACCAAGTATTAGCTCCACTGATTCCTTTAGATGTTTCTTTTCCAGGCCAGCAGAAATGAAACCTTCTGCTTGTACATCTGTAAGTGCCCACATTCCTCCACACATCTCTTGATGCTACACCCTACTTAAGTCTGTAAAACACTAATTAAGTTGCAGCTCCCATTTTCTGCACCTTGGTGACCAAAGGCTTAAATGTACCATGACATGTTCAGATATTTTTAGGTTAAAAGGTTTATTTCTGTTATAAGAAAGAGGATTTAGCTTTTCCACTTTCTCTTTAGATATGTGGACTTTGGTATTTTAGGAACGTATTTTAGATGCAAGACAGCAGATTGATAGGAAGTCCATGTAGCTCAGTATCCTGCTTAGTGGGGACTTAGGGACTTTCATTTGTAACAGTTCACTGAAATTCAGAGGAGAATTTTCAGGGTGCATCTGTGCTGCTACTGCTTTGGGTAAAGCCTGACATACTCATAGGGAGCTGCACAACTAAGGGAGAGTGTTTGTCCTGTACATGATTTCCATGTTTGACAAACAGATGCAATTTGTTTTGCATTTTATCACCCTCCCTCCCCATCTCCAGTTGAAACATGACATGCAGAGACATGCTCAATCCTGGGCATTTTGCATGCTTATTTGTACCTCCAAGACTGAAGGAAAGCTAGATAGAAAACAGCAAGGAGTCTGGTAAGAGTTCAATATAAATCATCAAAGACCCCAGGGTCCAATCCTCAGCTGGGGAAAAAGCAGAATAGCTTCACTGAGTTCACTGGAATGGTGCCAGTTTAACTGTAGCTGAGGATCTGGCTCCCAAAGTATGTTAAAGAAAGATTAAAAGAAAAATGTTTATAAGAAAATTGCCCTCAGAAAATTAGAAAGAGACAAATACAATGGCCACACGATGGCATCATTTCCTAATGCGAGAAATCAAGCTGCTACTACCACAGTTTTCATAGTGGCACATTTTAATGGCAAAAGTGAAAACTGCTTCAACTACGTTCACTTGTTCCCAAAAACACAGGCATGAGGGATTAGATCTGCTTGCATTCAGTTCAAGTTTGGTCCAAGTTTCTTTCATCTACTGTGGTTAGTTTCAGGCTGTTTGACTCTTTAAAAATGGGTGTTTCTCTTGCTAATATTTTCCTTTACAGAGCCAATCACTATTACTCAGAGGGATTGCTGCACTTTTGGAATGATAGCCTAACAATGGCTGAACAGATAAGATGGGGCCAAGTATGTCCAGGAAGGCACTGGGAGTTCTGTTTCTGACACATAAGATTCCAGGGAAATATAAACTTCCCTTGGGATTTACCTTTTTTCTATAAGGTCTTGATGAAAGTTTATCAAAGTTCCTAAGAAATGTTTTCAATAGGCTTTCAATAGACTTTGGACCACAGCCAAAAAGTGTATCCAAAACCAAGTACCATAAGAGAGCCAAGTAGGGACTTTTCTTGGTGTTCTTTCTGCTCTTGGTTGAAGGGATCAAAGGGATCGATACCTGCTTTCAACGGAAGCACTGCTTGGATGGAAATACACCCCTGGACATCTGATGCCCATCTCCTAAGCACTTTTGGATTTGGTCTCAATTTCTTGGTTTTCCACAGGCAGGGAGAAATGGGAGGAAAATGTTATCAGTCTGAGTGTGGTTAAGCAGGTAAGTCTGAATGTCTGTGGGCTTTGGTTTAAAGGAAAATATAGATTAAAACCTCTTAAGAGAATTACCTGTTTGGAAGGTTCTATTCAAACCAGAATCCTCCACAGGGAGAGCTGGTAACAGAGGGGGCAGACAGGACCGGATGTTTTTTTAGGCAGGGATGAAATCCACAGAACAGCACACCTTTGAGAGCAAGAGATTTCTGACAGGCAGTGGAAGGTTACAGAAGAAGTGGCTGATGGGGAAAACATGGAGTGGAGATGCAGATACAAAAGCCTTGTCCAGGACTGGGAAAGGGACTTGAGCTTCTCTCCTAACCTAACATCTCAATCCAGTCCAGGACCATGGGAAAATTCTTGTTCGTGTCTGGTTATTCTTTCCACTTGTCTCTTTTATGTGTTAACAAATAGGTAATTGTTAAGTAGGAAGACTGTATGCTGTGATGAATGCTCCTGTCCAGGAATGTCATGAGAGATAGCCATCAAGGTTTGGCTTGTGGCTTTTTTACCTGGAGTCTTTTGGGGGAGGAAGGAGGAAAGTGCCCACCATTCTTCACCCTCCTGGAATGAGCACTAGAGAGGATGTGCTTTCTCAAGCGATCACAGGCACCTATTGCTAATGGTTCCTGCACAGCCCAGCAAGGAAAAGCAGTTCTGTGCATCCCTCAGTCCCACTGTGGCTGTTCAGAAGCTGCTTACCACCATGATATATGGTCCTAGACTGTAAGTGGCAAATGCTCAGTAGAAGACATGGTTTTGTTTCTGAAGATGATGAAGCAATTTTGGCCCACAGCTAAATATTTGCAGCCACCCTCAAAAGGTGTGCTTATAAAATCACCTATTCTTTTCTTTTTTTGAAGGGGTGGGTGGGACAGGAATGAGAAATTTATGGGACAAGAACCTTAAATAGTAAAAACAGTTGTAGACTCTTGTTAGGAGTGAGGATATTATTAGGCAGCCCTGTGGCATAAGTACATATTCTGAGGAAAGGTACTGAGAAAGGGTACTGTGATACCTGAAAGCTTGCCTTGGTCTATCCCAATCATGCAGTTGGTTCAATGAAACATATGACCCACAGGAATTCTGGCTTCTTGCATATCTCCTGGACCATCATGGCAACAACGTCATCTTAACACTACTACAAGTACACATTGCAATTTTTAATATTCTAATAAAATATTTCAAAAACATACAAAAGAAGTTCTGTAATTTCAATATAAACACATTGACAAGTGCTAAGAGGTGATACAAGTACAGTGAACAACAGGTCTCATTCATGCCTCAATCATATCCTGACCATTATTTAGTCAACAGCAGCCCTTCATATATGCCTAGGTTTTCCTCTTATTTGGGTGCGTCTGCATGTGACGTTTTAATGTGCATTAGCCTAAGTGAATGCACATTAAGGGTGCATGTCTACATGTGCACGCCCTTAACGCACATAAAAAGTAGTGAATTTAGGCTATTTATGCCTAAATTTGATACCTACAAATGCAGATATCAAATTCAGGTGCAAATAGTTAAAGTGCATTCATGCATGTGTAGATGAATTAAAACACATTAACATTGTGTGTGTGGACTGACTTGGGACTAACTTTAGTCCCAAGTCAGTCCACACACACAGAGTTAACGCCCTTTAATGCCTGCATGTGTGGATGCCTACATAAACCTGCTTAATACACATTCAATTAATGCACATTAAATTTATGCACGCTTAAATTCACGTGTAGACATGCCTTTTATGTCCAATGCCGGCTCTAACCTCCTTAGGAAGACTCACTGGTATCACAACGCAAAATACTCGTATCAGAGTCAATATGGCTGCATGAGTATCCAGGAATCTGTGGGGAGAACTCACCCTCTTTGTTTTTATTTCCTTCATTGCGCTCCTTTTCACACAAAAATTGCTACTTTGTGTCTGTCTCTATCTGGGTAACATCAATAAATTATATGTTAGCGCTCCTATCATCTCGTTATAAAGAGCCTTTCAAGATTTCTAATAGATGTACAATATTGCTACGCTTACGTCTCCACTGGTTAAGAACTCAAAAATAGCTGTTGTGAGATTACTCTTAATTTATACTACTTCTCTCTTGCGAGCTTTCAAGGAGAAGCATTTAACCACATGTCACATACCAATCCAGAATATACTGTGTATCCCAGGAAGGCAGAGATCTTTTCAATGTTTGACACAACAAAGCTCCATGTACAAACTAAGGATATGCGTGGGTTTTGGTATTTGCTTTTACACTTGTAGGCTCCTTTAATGCTTCAAGGAGCTATGGGCAGTGATGAATTAATTAAAGATTTAGACATTTTGGTTTCTGAATGATGGAAAATGTAATGCATTTATATGTCATTTTATTTTGACCTCACAAATGGCTCCATGAAACAATGCAAACACCCATAGAAGACCTAAATGCAGAGGCAGTCCAAAACGCATGTTGGTGATGCTTCTGCAAATAGTAATATTTGGATTCCTACTCAACCCATATCTAGCATAAACAGTTGGGTTGAAGCACTGCATAGCACACTTGTAGAATGTAGTGCTCCTGATAGAAACAGCAGGTAACTGAGAAGTTTTGGTAGCCACCTTGAGTCACACACTTCTTTTCTTCCCCTCCATAATAGTTCAAAGTATATTGTTCCCACACTAAATACAATACTCTTCTCAAGTCATTCTATCAGAGGATCACAACAAGCTTTATAAACATGAATGGGTTGTACTGACCAAGATCTCAATTCTCTGTTTTAGCATGTCTAGCAGCTTAGCTACCACCATGGTTTGGATGAAGAGAGCTCTTTCTCTTTCCTTTGTCTGAACCATCATTACAATTATGCCACCTTTCTCCCTCTCCCCATCCCTATACTCTCCCAGCCCTGGCCTGCTTACTAAATCGGAACACAACATGTAGTAACCATAAGGCTAGTTACTAAAGGAAAAGCAGGAGGACTGAAAAGAAACTAACCTTGGAAGTCCAAATGAAGAAAGTTCATAATAATGAGAGGCCAGGAAAACGACAAAAGCTACTGAAAGACAAATAATGGTACACTTTGTTACTAAAACTGGTTGAGCTTCATAATGAGACATGGTTTGGAGCAATCAGCCCTTCATTCCTTAAATCAATGTTTCCCAAGGGAGAGCAAAGGACTGGTCAGAAAGGACTTAGCAGATGTACAAACCCTTAACAACACATGGCAGGAAGGGAGCATAATTAGTTCCACAACTGTCTCCCCCTACTAAAGCCTGGGAATCCCACCTTAAGCAATTGCTGCATGAAGCAGCTCGTCTAGAGCATCCTGGGAAAGAGCTACTTTTGCTGAGCCTTCATACCTGAGTAAGACCCAGTGGGCCGCTGAGCAAATACATGTCGGGTAAGACATCAAACAGAAATGACCATGATACTATTAAGTTCGGCACCCTTACAGGGAATCATATCATGAGGTAGCTCTGACATACAACTTTAAGAAAGAGGATTATTAAAAAAAATAAATAAAAAGGAGGAAGTTAGTTAGAAAGAGCCTGAAAGGAAAAGATAAGAAATTAAAATCCATAGAATCAGCAGGGAGGTGGCCTTAACAATACTTTATTAGAATCAATATTCATATCCCAGGACAACAGCGACTACAAAAAAGGGAAGCGGAATAACACTAGGATGGTTAAATAACAGGGTAAAAGAGTTTATTAAGGCTGAAAATGTATCCTTCCAAACATGGAAATCTTGCCCAAGTGACGCTAATAGAACAGAGCATAAACTGTAGCTGGCAAGATGTAAAATGGAGATTAAAGTGTGAGGAGGAAATTTAAAGAAAAACAGCTAAAGCTATAAAGTAAAGTACTGTTATAAGAAATAATTTAAGTATGTTAGAAAAAGGAAGCTCACAGGGCCATGGCTGAGGCCTAAGGAATACCTAAGATTATATGGATAGATATATTAAATAGACAAGCAGCAGACTCAGTGGGTTTGCTAGACCAACAGTGCGTAAAAGCAGTAAGGTAATCAAAGAGGTTATAGAAACTGCACAGTCTAAGTGATTTCTTTGCTTTAGTTTTCAGCCTGAAGAGTGATGGAGAAAGGAAAACTATCTTAAGGTATGAAGGCCCTGTCCAGGAAAATATTATCAGAAAGGAGGTGGTAGAAATTCTTAAGGAATTAAACGGTAATAAATTCTCTGAACTGGATGGTAGTCATCAAAAACTATGAACGAGGTAACTCAGGGGCTAATGCAATTATGTAATGGAGGGATTATAGGCAGACCCGCAATTTTAAGTATAAGGCTGTGTGTAGACACTAATGCTCCTAATGGGTGACTTGAGAATGAGAGAGACCAGTGAATTTGGAATCAGGAAAATATCTAAAAAATGCCAGGGGGTACTTAAAACATATTTAAGGGATTATATTATGATTCATAAAGCCCCAAACAATCAGAAATCATGAGAACAGCTTAAAAATCATGATATAAAAATATAAATAACACTATCAAATGTGCATAATAATAAATTTGTAACATTGCTTAGTTGCTTTCTGGTTTTTGAACATATAAGATACAATAAATACATATTTTCAAGCTTTCCTCCCCAGTCATGCAGACTAGAAGTTTTCTTGATCTTTGGAAATGAAAGCTGAGTTTCTTATGCAATCTCTTGATTCCACACATTGGGACTTAATAAAAACTCCAGACGTCATGGCAGCTGACAACACTGTGCCAAATTAACATTAAGGTCACTAAGCAAAGGAATAAGCAATTAAAATCACCAAGAACAATTTAAAAAACATCTATGTGACTTATGGACCGAAGTGTCAGTGACTTAAATGTCCATGAAACTTAAGTGCCTAAGCCACATATGTGCTTTTGAAAATGTTCTCATTAGATGTGTAACTGAAATACCGTTTCTTATATGGGGTAAAAGAAATATAGATGAGATAACATTCACTGTGAACATGCTACCTATCTCTGCAACTAAAGTCAATAGGACTTTTTCCAGATACTCCTCGGCTGCATCCCCACAAGTGGGAACATGAGCTTTGCGGCACCTCAAAAGTTTTTGAGGCACCACAAAATGTACCTGGCACACGTGAATAGGTTCTCCATGCTGCATATTTGCAGCACAGAGGCAAAATTAGATACCAGGAAATCCTGGTATCTAAAAAACATGCACAAAAAAAAAGCAGCGCAGTACATGTGGCAGCAGCGTGCACTGCCTGAAACCAGAGCCTGGCCGGCCAGACCCACACTCCAACTGCTTGCCGGCCAGGGTCCGCACACCTGGATCACCATTGCTGCAGCCCTGGGAGGCCTCCAGGGCCCAGGTAAAGCTGCTGGGATCAGCATCCCTACCCCACCCAGGGCAATTTGCTGCATGCCAGAGCAAATATGCAGGGGCATTTCCCCAGGGACAACTAGCAGTGGCACACCTATGTGCTGCCTATATTTACTGTCTATATTTAACAAATTTATTTTGATCTGAGACATAAAAACTGCTTGCAGATGTTAAAAAAAAGCCCAGTGCACTTTACTGGAAGCAGCAGTGCGTTACTTCAACCTAGGCCAGCAATGAAGGCTCAGGCTGCAGAGAGCTGACAGTAGGAGGCTACAAATCCATTTTCATCCTACCACAATATCTCCTTTGAAAATTAAGACAAAAATAAATAAATGACAAAGTCCCACTAATTTTTAGCTTGGAAGTGCCACAGAAGTCACTTTAAGCCAAAAGCAGCCCCACTAAGTCACAAAGACGACCTGTATTGACTGCTCAAGAAAATGAAAGTCCTCATTTGCCTTCCTCAGTTGTCTGTGGAATACAGGAAACCTGCAAGGTACATGACACCCTCTTTCCTTTCCTCCTTTAAGGCCCTGAAGATCTTAAAATTAAACTAGTGATCAAAAATAAAAAAGCCAAGTTTCAAGAAGAGGAAAACAAAAATTGCCTCTGGCTCAGTGTTCCTGTCTTATTTGTCAAAGCTGTCAAGCCCCAAGTTGGATCTGAGTAGATACAATATTTAGGCTCACTGGGCTCATCACTAAATAGCATTCTATTCAATATTTAAGTTACCTGTTTGAACCTAGTTAATACATATATTTAGGCCCTATTACTCTCTCTCTGTCCCTCTCTCTCTCCTTTACCAAACAAATGTTCCTTTTTATTGTGTTTATTTTATTTTCCTGATTATACTCAGTGTTGGATTCTATTTCAGGCCAGCCCCCATTTTATGGGTTCTGTATCCTCTGAAAATCACAACCACTTCTCTACCAGTTTTTCCAATAATCATCCAAACTATCACTCAGTCCTACAGATTCTTTGCTAAAATGTTGTCTTTCCCCTGTCTGGAACACATTCCTTCACAGATGGACCATCTTTGTCCTACAGTGTCTAAGAATAACTCTTTTAACTATCAATAGACACAAAGAGATTCAGTTGCACTGTTCCCGTGGGATTTCTTTGAGTTTGGACACATCTGCTAAGATACATACATCAGAGTCTGAATGAAGTTTTTGTTTGATTGTATCTTTGAGCATTTGTGAATTTTTCTGCCAAAACATTCTTATCTTTTGGCACTCCCAAAACACAGGTCTATACAGTTACAGATGACTTCCAAACAGCTCCTGCATTATGTGGTCTCTAAAGCCCAACCTATTTATAGGGGGCCAAGTCCTGCAGTTCTTATTCATTCTACAATCTCAACAAAGTCAATGGGAGTTTTGCCTGTGGGGAAAGTAAAGGAAGGACTTTAAGACTGGGTTGCTACCAGTCTTATCTAACCATCCTGTTGGATGATCAGGAAAATTTATAGGAAGTTTTAACTGCCATTTTCAACAACACCTCATTTACCTGCTTGTAACCTTTCTTGAACAAATGGGGCCATATTTTCACTGAAGGCTATTGCCTTGGGCGTGCAGTTTCCACCCCAAAACTGCCTTGCTTTTGTGTATGTAGCAGCATCCACATGGTACAGCCAAGCAGTTGGCGATGTGTCAGGCATAATTCCAAGTGGACCCCAGGTGCTGATTATTACATGGACCATGTTCCAGGTACTTCTGAAAAGACCTCTCCATTTCACTGGCTATTCCAAAGGCATTTATCTGTACTATTTTAAGCCAACCTATCCCAAGGAAGAAGATGATGATGGTCAGAGGCTGTAGGGTTCTGCCTCAGGTACTCATTCTTGTGGAAATATGTCTAAGCCCAAGAATCACAATATTTAGGATTTTATCCTTAAAGGAAAGAATCTGCTGTGACTTCACTGGGGTGATAGAGTGCAGCATCACTCAGGAGTGGAGGCACTCACCATCTTACAGGGTGAGGCCTTTAGAAAGCAATGTATAATACACCTCTGTGCCCAAAAATTTTTTGCTAGCTCCTTCCTTCAGCACTCTCGATGGGCAAAGAACTGCTGATGTGTTAAAGCTGAGGTGCAGCTGACTGTCAAGGGGTATTTACTGTCTATATTTAACAAATTTATTTTGAGCCGAGTCATAAAGGATGCTCACGAACATTTAAAAAAATGTGCTTTACCGGAAGAAGCAGCACATTACTTCAACCTGGATCTTCAGTGTTTGTAAAGATTAGGTGCTTCAACAGGGCTTTTTGGCACTTTTAGCTAAAGCTGATTTAATTCGCTATTAGATAAAAGCACCAGAAAAGCCCCTCTAAAGTGCCTGATCTTTACATCTGGGTTGAAGTAACACACTGTTTCTTTTGGGCATGCACAGGACTTGGTGCGGGAACGCACTGAGTTTAAAGTAAAGAGCCGGGGATTTTTTTTTTTTTAATGCCTGCAAGAACCCATAAAGAACACCCAAATAGTAATGAGGAAAGTAACTTTGTAAATATTTATTGCCATACAGGAGTGGCACAGTTTTTGGCAAATACAAATGACTGCACTTGGAAAAATGGTCAGTGTAGATTTGAAATCCTTCCCCTCTCCATGATTTTTTGTAAAAACAAGCTTTTATTTAAATATATGTAAAATAAATGAGGACTTTTATAATCTGCTGTATCAGGCTCCTGGTAGATTTTTCTAAGGCTTCAAACACCTTTCACTTTAACTTGTTCGATATTTATTAGTCTCTGCATTAAATAGTTCTGCCAAAATGTCCCTTTTAATCATAGCTTAGCAATATTTTTAGATTGTTTCATGACTGTTTGAACTCTTTATCAGTTTGAATAAGCTTTTCTTAGTCTTTTTCTCAGGAACAAGCTTTACTATCCTTGTTCAGGTTAAAGTTCCACCGACTACCAATGGGAGGTTTGCCCTAAATGAGTAATTTTGAACAGGGGCCTTCATTTTATTCATTTCCATTTGGTCACTTTGAGGTCTTCTCTTTTCCAAAGAGAAGACAACCAGCTTCCTGATAGTAACATTCTTCAGTCATTACTAACCTAGGCAGGATTCAAATGGCTCTTGGAAACTATTACTAATCCCTTAAGTCAACCAGTCCTAAAGCTGTGCCAATGTTTTTCTGTTTTGACAGAGACTGTGCCTGGTGAATCTCAGTAACTTTAGAGAGGATGTGGCCCAATTAAATGGGAGTTTTGTGGAGTTTAAAAAGAGTTGGAAGAACAGATTGACTCCAAGTCTCCTATCCCTAAACGAAGAACGTTTCTGCACATTTCTAGCAGTTTTCATTTCTATTGTGTAAGGAGATATGGGGCAAGCATGAGATGGTATGAAGCAAAATATCCTTAATTTATACCTTGGCCCTTACATACCTGCACTGCAAACAGGTCTTCCACTATGGCCCCTGGCAAACTTTATTTCCATCAAGCAACAGATAATGTTGCTTGGTAGAAACTGTCAAGCTATGTGACCTGCTTCGCATTCACAAGGCAACTTATCCAGAGGGGAAAAAAGTGCCCTGGGATCTTGCTCTGCCAACACTTGCTGGCAGTAGAAGCTGGCATGCTGCTGGAAAGAGTTGTCAGTCCCCCTCCCACCTTCAGCAATGCTGTAATAAGAAGTGAATTCTAAGCTCCCCCTTGGTGAAGGAACTACTCCTTTAATCCTTATGTAGAGCAGGGGAGACCTGTGTAAAGAGTGGGCAGGAGGCAGGAACAATGGGGCTCAAACTCTCCCAGAATACTTTAAGAGGTGCTTTAATCTGCATCTTGTCCCCACTGGTAGCTTTCCAAGTAAAGTCCCTCCCACTCTCAAATTATAATGATGTAAGTACAGCATGTTATGTTTCCTGTCTCACGCTCTTCTACCGGGAAGAGGTGCTAACATCACCTTAAAGAAGCAGCTTTCAAGTCTAGTTCAAAGGAGAGGTGGTGAGTTGTGATACTTTCTGCTGAGACACCCTGAAGCAGCAGAGTTCAGTGCGAGTCACAGACACCATGAAAGCCACCTTGCAGAGAGGGGGCAGGGAACAGTCTATTCTGGTGTGCTAGAAGATGTGGCTAAATGCTATCACCTTATGTATGACACACCACACCTTCAAATTAAAGCTTGAAAGAAACCAGCTATAAAAATGTTCTACAATTTTTAAGCAACATCTTTGTAGATGGTTGGCCATTTTTGTGCTTGGTTGGCCATTTTTATTGTGCAGTAATTACTTTGCATGTGTAGTACATCTAAATTGACCTAAATTAACCAGTTAATTGCACACTAAGTGTAATGTGTCAGGGACCAATAAGAGAATATAATGTGATAGACAGGTATAACATACAAAGATGATGGTGGTGAGGATGATGATCACATCATCTAGCTCTTACACACTGCTTTTTATACTCTGGCTATCTGACATACATATATTTTATGAGAGATACGAGATGAAATATTTTCTTTTTAAAACTAATCTAGTTTATATCTAGTATATATGTGTTTGTGTGGGTGTATACATAAATATATATATGCATGTGTAATTTGTCTTGACATTTTCTAAACAATATGTTTCAACTGATGCTTTATGTGTGTATGTATGCATGTAGAAAATTATATCTATATATGTATAATATTGAATAATTTTAAAAAGAAAACATTGTTTCAGTTGAAACATTTTTCCTTGGAACATATCAAGACTAAACAGTTAAATGTTTCTGCTTTTTTTTTTTGGTTGTTGAAAGTTGCAAATAGTGTTGGTCCTACAACAACTACACGTTTCTTGCCTGGAAAGAGGTTTGCTCAGCTTAAATTATCATCGATTTTACAGGCAAGGCAACACAACTTGTCCATAGTTGTCAGCTGCAGAGTTGCAGACACTGGAAAAGAACCCAGGTCTTCTGAGTACTAGTCCATCACTTTCTGCTGTAGGTCATCTGCTACCTGCCATATTAATTTTGCATGTAATTTACACATTATTTTATTTTATAATTAAAAATGCAGTTCCTTTTCATTTTCCTCTACAGTACTTGACAAATAACATCACAAGCCTATTGTGATGTCAGCAGTGAACCTCTTGTAAAGCCTGGGTAAAGAAGGATAATGTTCATACTCCTAGGTTGTCAGTGGCAGAACCATCACCATATAAGTACTGATGTGTTTGTTTTTTTATCACACCCAGCAGTCTTAAATTATGTGCCAGGTAAAAATCAGTAGGTCAAATTCTTGGTTGATTTTATTCTACTGAGGTCTAAGATGTTATGCTAACAGAGATTCCAGCAGGAAAGTACTCCTGAATACTATTCCTAATTTTGCCACCCATTCTCTGGGGTCTCAAGCAAGTATTGTTACCTCTTCACCTTATTTTTTGCAGCTGCAAAAATGTTTCATTTCTCCTAAATAAGTGTGAGGAGGATTAACTATTTGTAGGGTGCTCTGAACATATATATCTTGAGTAAGGTCCACTGAAGCCAGTACAATTTTTTCCACTGATGTCAGTAATCATTGGATCAGGCCCACTAGTTCAGTCCTGCAAGTTAGAGAGTTACACTAAACTTCCAGAAAACGTCACAGGACACCAAATGACACTGAGGTCACTGAGGTTCTGTCTATACCATCACCCTGATGACTCCAGGGCTGCCAGCCTTGGGTGTGTGTGAAGCATGAGTGAGTAGGGATTTGCCTCTCAGCGGAAGGTCCTAGCCTTTGTAGGGAGGCAGTACAGACATGACCTAAATCTCCTGGGTGGATTGCAACAGTGTCCGGCACAGGCAAGGTGGATCAGGACAGTTAAGTCACATCTTGCTGAAGAACAAATTTGGTGTGAAAGAGGGGACTGATCCAGATTTTAAGGGCTTTCATTTAATGCTGTGGTAGTGAATTTAGTGCTGTTGACCTTCATATTGACTACCTTGGAAACTTAAATCCCCTTCTTGTCTATAAAACAGGTGCAGTGTGAACAGCAACACGGCATATCTCGTTCACACACTACCCACTGTCAATGGGCCTCACCTCTGCCCTTGACCACCTCCAAAGGTAGTTCAGGTGGCTGAATGAGCCATTCAGCCCCTGCTGGCCTCAGTGCTAAGGCTGCTTTCATGGTTTTCCATCTGTCAAAAAATATCAGTGTGAGGTTTCCATTCCCATTTGCTAATGAAGTCTTTCATCTTCGTGAATAGGATAAATAGATTCTTTGTTTAAAAATAAGGATTCTTTCTTTCTTTCTTTTGTTGTTCTTGCCTTGCTCATTTTTAATCCTTTTTACCAGCTTTTGACTTCGAGAAAACATTAAAAACATCCAAATCTGAATTCCTGGTCCTGCCCAGAGATTGGGTATTTCAATTTGAAGGGAATCTTCCTGGATTCTTGTCTTCCCAGTGCCTCACTGCCTTCCTGGCTACCTCCCTTCCCAGTGCCTTACACCTCTCTTTCTTTCTTAGCTCACTGGACCAGGTTTAGGAAAGCCTCCCAATATTATCTTATCAGTCCCACTAGAATCAAGATCTCAAGAAGAGGCACATAATGAGTGAAGTCAGAAGCTGGCAAGAAGGAATTGCAGCTAAAATGATTTTGATAGCAATGATCCCAATAACCCAGCTGCTTCTAAGTGTCACCCTGAGGCAGGGCTTTTAAATAAAAAAAAAGAAAATGATATACATTTTTAATCTGATTTTTTTATTGTCATGCCCTGATTTTATTATAATTGGCCCCTACAAAGTCTGGTTGGCTTCTGAGATCTTGAAATACTTGGGCTCATTTTTCATCTTTCTTTCTGCCCCCTCCCCAGCAAAATTTTCAGCCTCTTCAAACCATTTCAGAAGAAGCAAACTAGATCCCCTAAAAACTGATGAATGTGAGGGATGGACTCATCCCATGTAGCTCTGCTCAAAAGGTTCTTGATAGGAGTCACTGTAACAATTCAATGTTTTGAAGATCTCACTTTTCACAATCCAGTTTCAACTTCCAATTTCTTTTCTCACCCCGTTGCTCTGCTCCCCACAATCTGATGAAATGGAAAAGAAGAAAGCCAAACAACCTGCTTCAACTAACCCTAAAGACCCTGAAAAAATGTCAATATAACTGTGTTGGTTCCTCAAAGTTTTCTGTACCCCCAACAGGTCCAGCCCACTCTGCTTTCCAGAACACCACCTTCTTGCCTTGTCTGCAGTCCTATCGAATCCTAGGTTCAGCTAGGAACCTGCATTCCCTAAGTGCCACCTAGGCTGGGGTGAGGATCACAGGCAGAAGACTCACTGGGGTGAAGATCAGCATGATGACTTGGAGGGCAGGAACCCCAGCACTAACTAGGTGCAGAGAGAGCTTGTGGCCTCAGGGGAGAGGGACTGCATGCATTGCTTCACAAAAATTAGGATTAGCACTACAATCTGACCCACACTGCTCTTTTAGCTTTCTCAAACTGGATTATTATGACCCTATGCAAATCAAAAACAGAAAAAAGGGGGAATGAGGGGGAAGGAGGCATATATGGAGGAGGCCTTGTTGGTGTGACATTATGGAAACAAATATAAAAGCTGGTATCCAGCACAGAAGAGTGTGTCTACAACTCGCGGCAACCCCCCCGGTACATCAGTGTACTCACAATCAGATGACCCTGTGTGTGCGTGCAGGTTGGTTGGTGAATGTGATGAGTGGATGAGGGCTGGGCTCAGAGGCAGAGCAGCTTCAAGGTTCAGGCAGGGAAGGCCCGGCTTGGCTCTGCATGCACCCGTCTGAGTAATCTCATTCTCCTCAGACGCCTTCTGGTTTTCAGCTGTCTTGGGTTTCTTCCTGAAAACAAACAAAGAGACCTTTGAAGAAGCTGACGGCATAGTTGGGAAAAGGCATTTTTAGAATCTGTTAAAGATAACTTGCTTTAAAAAAAACCCCACCTCATCTCTTCCCCCCACTAACCCCTACCCCCAGAGGAGGGAGCAAAAGAGGACTCTCCTCCATGCCTCTTGTTGGGAAACAAGCGACTCCCTGTTTATACTCTGATGCAATGGCCCTGAGACCACATTACAGCATATAGACCAAGTAAGAAACTCCCCATTCTGCCCCTATAAATGACATAAATATAACCAATCCCAGTGGTTTAGACAGTCCAAGCTCCATGTGACAAATATTAACCACGGCTGTATCATTCTGAGCAGACAGCTATACAGAGCCGTAATAAATTGGTCTGGAAAACAAATAAGCATGGCCTAGTTCAAGAGGCAGGGAAAGCAAAGCCTTACATTGTGAGGAAGAGTACATGGGAATAAGATAAGAGTACTGCCACTAGGGCAATGTAGATATACAAGGGTTAACTGTACCCAGTCATTTGACTAGATTTTAAGCCTGAAATCACCAATGATGCTGACTGCAGGCTGGCTTCCTGTACCTTCCATGAACCAACAGAGCCCTTAATCACTAAAGATACTACATTGTATTTCTATAACAGCTTTCATCCAGGACCATAAAGTGCTCCACCAACATTGAGAAGTAAGCCTCGAAACACTGAGAAGTAAGCCTCGAAACACTACACATGGGTAAGCATTACCCTCCTCATTTTATAGGTGGGAAGGCTGATGCACAGACTTTCCCATAGTTGCAGTGTGAATCTCTGCTGGAGAAAGGAGAAGAGCCTGCTCCCCTGAGGCCTAGCTCTGTTCTTTAAGCCCAAACGAATGCCACCCCCATGTTCACTAAAGTTTCAAGCACGGTCTTTACTTTGCAAAATTACTGCCAGGAAGCAGTAGTCACTTGTAGCCCTCAGGCAGAAAACTGGCTGCCTTGTGGCATGTGTCAATCTAAGGTAACCCTCATGAAAAGGAGCAGAAGCCAATGAAGCACACACAAGGGTACAAGCGCAGTCCATGCTCTTCTTGCTTACTCTCTGGAAACAGAGGCCAAAAAGGTTTTTATCTGATGGAAGGAGATGTCCCTCACTGTTGCTTGCAAGCATGACCTAATGAAACTTGATTTCAGCTGCCCAAGTCTGGCCTGGATAAGGCATACTTAATCCAGCAGAAAGCAATGCTTTACAACAAAAGGCATGCAATATTTTCCACCAGGGGACCATCCACATCTTTTGCTGAAGCTCTAGCAATTCTTTTGCTGTTTTAGCTAGTTTTCCCCAAGTCATGGCAACCATTCTCAGAGCAGAGCACCAGGCTACACAAAAGGCATATAATGTCTTAAGATGCCTGGAAGGGTTACTGTGTCAGGACCCTTTTCTACACTGCTCCTTGCCCCATCTGATCTCGGAAGTAAAAATAAGGAACCACCACAGAACTAGTTTTCTCTCTTATTCTCCACCCCCAAACTTCCCTTTCCAGAGTGTCCTGCAGAAGAACAGATGCATTAAGATAGCCAAATGAAATATCTGACGTGTGTGTGTGTGTAGTATATATAAATCTTCATTTTTGTGTCCAGGCATCAGGAAAAAAAAAAGACGAGAAATAGCAAAAAACAAGAAAGAAAGAAAGAAAGAAAGAAAGAAAGAAAGAAAGAAAGAAAGAGCACCCATCATGCAACAGAGAGCAAAACCACTTTGCCATTAATAGAGAACGTCGTCTTTGGTTACATAAAGGAATTATATAAGCTTGGCATATCCGAGGGCACAGCATGTGAAAGCTCTCGTCAAACCTGATGGCTGCCAGTTCTAGCTGGTCACCTTCAGAGGGCAGCAAAGGACTGAACGATTTCACACTACATCAGCGCCAGACAAAACCTCCACTAGAATCTTCCTCCTGGTCACTATGCCAGGGGTTCATCTGCCAAGCTCCTTAAAAAAAAAAAGATTCCTCTTTCTTTGCCGTGAGCGTTAAAATTATACACCCTGATGAAGTGTCCCTTCAACTGGAAAATGAAAACTCCGCTGGAAAATGTTAAATGGGTCAAAAATGAAGGGGGAGGGGAAAAACCCCCCAACAACACCCCCCCCCCCCCACCCCCCACCAAAAAAAAAAAAAAAAAAAAATGTCAAAAATATTTACAAGAGTCTCAGTCTTCAAAAAAGAAAGAAAAAGTAAGGCTGTAGGTGTGGAGTGAAAAGGAAAAATATTAAAGGGCAAGCACGGGATAAAGAAATGTGCACATAGCCACAGAAGTTTTGGGCCAGTTACCAGGGGTGTCTCTCAAGTGTAGCTCGCTGGGTTCAGTGATCAAAACTACTTGGCTCCAGGTACCTGTCCTGGACTGGTTGATTCTGATTGGACCTCCCAAATTGGTCAAAAAGCACAAAAAACATTTTGGTTTGTGTGACTGCTTCCAAAGTGGCTGCTTCAGGGTTTCAAAGGAGCATTTTTAGGTGAATTGAGGCTGACTGAGACTGCTGGTGTTAACCCCAGTGGTGCTGGCAAGCTTTGGTGTACATTAGGTTTTGGGAGCTGCACTCTCAATACATAGGACAATATTGCCTCTTGTATACTGCCTGGTAGAGAATAATGTATGTTACAAATAGGCTGAAAATATAATGAGCCAGATCCTGATCTTGCTCACACCACAGAAGAGTGGAAATATCTTTATTCACTTCAGTGGAGTAACTTAAAAGTTGTGCTGGTATAGCAGGGTCAAGAATGGCATTACTATATTGAAACTATATGCAAACCAGACTATTGTTAAATACAGTAAGTATGTTTTATATAGAGAGGTCTGGGAAACAGGCTGAGCACCTTAGCACCCTCAAACACTGTGTGCTTTCATTTGCCTTTCAGTTCTGCCTCTTGGATCCACCTCTGATCATACGGCCTACTGCCAACATGGTAATACATTTAAAAAACCAACATATGGAAAATACACATTTCGTCCAAAGGAGCCTGAGAAGTGGGGAGCAGAACTGCATTAGTGTGTTGGAAAAATTTGCCAACCAGATTGTTGCTAAATACCTTGAGAAATGTTCTCTCCATCTCTTGTTCCCAACTCCCTTTCTTTCTGCATGTATGTGCATGCACATATGCACACATATACACATAGCACATACATATATATGCACAAAAAGCAATCTTTTTGGAGCAGTTTGGAAAGCTTTTAGGCAATGCCACTTCTTGCTCAGTGAGCAGTGGACTGGGGTACTGGGGGTGGGACGCAGAACTGGAAATTTGGAATAATGGATAAAATCATCCCTAGAAATAGATTTGCAACATAAGAGGGTTTGCTATCACTGCAAAGTAAAACTGAGTTATAACTGGCGTTATAACATTAACATGGGACCCTTCCAGACATGAAAACCCTTCACTTGAGGGAGGTGGTGCTTTTCGCTTGAGTTGGCAGGCCTGTTGGGAAGTACAGGCTAACACTGGAGGTGTACAACTTCTTGGTGGCTAACATGGTCACTTCGGGCTGTTTATTCAACCACTCGCTGCAGCTTGTATGTTATTTCATTGTGGGGCTGCTCTCACTCCAGCGAAGCTGGCTGGCATGCAAAGCTAACTCCACAGAGAACACAGTGACTTTGACTTGTCTTGAACCCCAGACACTCAGAAACAAGTACAGGACTGGGTGAGAAAATTATTTATTTATTTTTTTTAAACTACAGGCAGTGAGTGGCATCACCAAAGCTGTAGGTAGCATCTCATTTTTCAAAGGGATCTTCTTGCTACTACTGCTCACCATCAAGATCCTTTCTCAATAGAAGCCATTCCAAATGGGGATGAAGGGCTCCCTGCCTGTGCTCAGTCTAGGGGAAAGAGGAGTCAGCAATCTTTTGGGCACAAAGGAAATGTGTTTTATGATTCCTTTCCATTCTTGCTGATTCTTTTCCTGTGACATACTTTTTTCCTGTGCCTAAGGCTATGGGGAAACATATTTTAGCTGCTTCAAAAGGCAGGGGTGCTGCTCTTCTGGAATGTGCATCAGCTGTTATGATGTGGCTGTTAGCTAAATCACCCTAGCTTTGACCTTCAGTGAAGCAGAGTTAAAGTTAGGGCACTTTTGCCACACTTGTATTACTACAAAATAAAGCTGGCATAACAGCCTCATCATAAGGGCTGATATTAGTATCTTTTGATAGCAATACAACTATTATGTCTGTCTATACCTTAGGACCTAGCAAATGCAAACACATCAGAAGGTCAGGAGATGCCAGTAGAAGAAAGGCATCTTGAAACATACAGCCAGATTAAAAATTAGAGGAAACTTTTTATGGGAAAAAAGTACCCCAGTAGTCACTCTGACCAGTAACAACCTGTGAGGGAGACCAAGCTCTTAGACTTTAGGAAGGGCCTTTTCCCCATTTCTTCAGATCCCCGTGGCTAGAGCCCCACTGTCAGCAGTGTGGACATATGGCCAATGCTGATCCATTGCCCACCCTTACTCATTGTCACTATACCTCTTCCACAAAATTTAGAAGCCTTTTTATATGCTCTCATCCTCTCACTTCACAAGATAAATTGGGGCATTCTCCCCTCCCCTACAGGATGTTTCGAAGGGGATAGATGGTTGGTCACAAAAAGAGGAATGAAAGAGCTGGTGGAGCATTGTGTCCTCTTGCTGAGTGGGGTGCATTATACACTCCTCTCATCATGGTGCCTGATTCTAGCAATCATTATGGGATCAACATCATCTTTGATCTTTGTTATTTTAAGGAAAGTGGAGGGCCAAGATCATAGAAAAGTAGGGCTGGAAGGCACCTCATGAGGTTACCTAGTCTAGCACTTAGTCAGGGATTACCCCTGACTAAACTATTGGGAAAAGAGATGCTGGGTGAATGATGTTACTGTAAATGGCCTTGATGTTATAAATCCTGGAAGATGAAACATGAAGAAGACATATTTACCTCCATTAGGAGAAAACTTATTTATGTTCTACAATTAGCCCATGCCCTGAGGAGTAGAGCAGGATTATAAGATTTCATTACTAGTGGGGTTTTTTCCATCTAGTTTTAAATGCCCCTTACAGTGGGGCTCCATTCCCATCCCATACCTCTCCCAGAAAGCCTTTCCGGGTATTCCTCATAAAGGGCACCTGGATTTTATTACATTACTTCTAGCAGTATCCATGGTATTAATTAAAATAATTCCTATTTAATACTTCCTTGGCTATACTTTCTTCAGACATATGTAACATGCTCCCACACCCACTACTCATTGCTTCCCCAAACTGTACAGATTTAGGTCTTTCCAATTTTTTTTGTACATCAGTCTCTCCAGCCTCTCATCATCTATTTCTGTTGCTCTACCCTAAACTCTTTCTTGACTGTCAATTTTTTTTTCTGTAATGAGGTGTCCTCTTCTTCAATGTTTCTCAACTCTACAGTATATTACAATAACGATCCAGAAACCTGACACCGCATAATAATGAAGCAAAGGCGGTGTTCAGAGTACTGATTCTATAGGAATGTAGGCCCTTTCCTATGCTAATTTTAAAAGGAACTGATTGCTGTTTGGTCACCTTGGAGTTACACAGAAAGAAACTACCATCTCCTTGCTTTGGGAGACCTTTGAAATCCTGCTGCCATACTGCACTACAAACTCACATGCAGTTTGCTGTTCAATAACACCCCTTCTCCCCTACCTCTCCTCATCCCTTCTCAGTCTCTTTCAGGTGTTGCTTCTCAGGTTTTTCCTTGCAACAATTATCCATGTTTGGGAAGACTGTTCCCCTGCCTCTAAGTCTGGTTTCCCTCATAGTGAGGCAATTTACTTTGCTCAGCTGCTGGTATTTCCCAAATGCCATTGTAACTTTGGTGAATGCTTGAGCCTTCCTTTGATGCTGTTACATCAATCCAAAGCCCCAGCAGAAATTCAGAAATGGACTCAAATGCTCTATGATTTTTCACTTCCAAAACCATGTTCCAAACCACTACAACTAATCCAAGTTATTAAATAAAAAGGACTGGATTTCTCATGGTCACATTTCTTTCTGGTTGGAGCCATAAGGGGTGAATGAGATGAGATAGGCTCATATATATATATTTTTTAATGAATTCCTAATTTCTTCCCTGAATCATGGGCTGGAGACAGCTTTTCATCAAAACCCCACACTGGATGGGTATGGTAGAGATGAGCACAAAGGTAACTAATAGTTAGGATCCTTCAGACCAGGATATCTTATTCTGAAGAGACTGTGAATGAAGTAAAGATGCAGGCTGAATTCTTCTCCAGCTCCTGAAGAAAGGTAGCTGTAGACAGGGCTTGTGAGCGACTTTGGGAGCAAAGCAAACACAGAGAAGTGTCCCATCAGATTCTGTATTGCAAGAATTATCAGTGAGACAAACAAGATAAATTATTATACAAAAGCCAAATTCTGCCTGCCCCCCTACAAATACACCATGCCATGGGCACGAGCAAAAAAGGTGCCTGCCTTCCCTGTGGCTTATTATGTGAAGGAGACAGGTCCGTTTAGGCTGTTTGTAATTCCTGGCAATAAGGGGAAAGGAAACAGGGTGCTGGCCCTGTTGCATCTCCCCCATTTTCCCCCCTCAAGGAGTGTGGCTGGGTCATGGTTGAGGCCTCTGCATGCCAGCTGGACTGGAAGGACAGTACCAGGAGATTGCTAACGATGTCTTAGGTGCTGCCACCAACTAGATTCCCCAATCGATACTCCAGGCACTACTCCCAGCAGAGGTAGTGTTTGCCTCCAGTAACTGCTCCAGTGCTTGCTACCCAAGCACTTTACTCACTCTTTGAGTCACAGTTTGGCCTTAATTTGGTAGCGCATAGAATTCATATATATATTCAACTCAAGGCATCTGGCTTTTCCCATTCGAAGAGGAATTTTACACAATATTTTTTTCCTTTGCATTGTACTACACAATCACTTTCCTCCTGTCTGAATGGGAGACTTATGCCACTCTCAGTATCAGTGCTTCTCCCTACTGATGCTGCACCTCTCTCAGATGTGAAACTGATGGATGTTTAGAAACTGACAAAGGGAGGCAGAGGGAGACACTGAGTATATTCCTAAAGCAAGCTGAACCCTGGCCACAAAACAAAGGGTAAGTCCACATCGCAGTCACCTGTTGGTAGTTTTGGGTAGCGCTAACAGCGTAGCCATGCCAACATGGGATTTGGTATGGGCTGCAGAACTTGCCCAAGAAGCTGGCTAAATGCTTGATGATTAACCCATGCTGAGCTCTGTACTTCTGTGGCTCCACTGCTAAGCAGTACCCTCATTAGCCAGCTTAAAGCAAGCTTTGGTGTGTCTACATGAGCTGCAGTCAAACCTCCAACTGTACATGCAGCTATAACTTACACTGGAGATACAGACTTCCAAAAGGAGCAGCACGCAGAGAAATCTGAACAGAACACCAACTGAACTCAGAAGGCAAAGATACTTGACCAGAATGAGTGAGGAATACAACCCTAACAAGATGAAACGATGACAAGAAGCATAAAACCCTGTCCCATTCCATGACAAAGCTACGATGAGAATCAAGATCTCATCACAATGGTAAAAAGCCCCTACATGATGGGAGAGAGATCTGACCCAAACAGCTCAAAATGATTAAATTAACAGAAAAACCTCTAGAACAGCAATACAGGATTTTTTCAGAACACTGCAGAAGGCCAAGAAGGGAAAGCAATACAACTAGAACAACAGGAAATGTGTTTGAAAGGCAGAAAGATCTAAGCAGGATTTTGCCAGACTATGAGGACAAATAGAGATCCTGACCTGCACCATAAAAAGCCAGAAGAGTGGCAATGATTTACATCACCTCTTGTTGCAGTCCTGTGCCACACATTGAATCCCGACAGAAATAGCTTCCAAACTTTAATATGATGCCAACAAGAGGTGATGTACATCATTTCCACCAGACTAGCACATCGACAAAAGACAAAGAAATCTAATCAAAACTCAAGTAAGTAACATGGAGACATCAACTAGAGCAGCATTAAATTCTCACTAGAGGCAGAAAGATCCTACTATGGCAGAGCAAAGTGAAAAGATATAAGGATATAGAAGAAAGAATTGCTGAGCTGCAGCAGGAGGGTGATGACATCAAATTCATACCAATTTTTTGAACAAGTCTTTTATAGGACGTAACATTTACTTACAGTGGTTTCTGAATGGTGTCACTCTTCAGGTAAGTCACTCCAAGCCTTGGATCTAGTGCAGACGTTCATTGGGGCAGGGAACAGAGAGAGGCTGCGTCTGTACTGAAAAGAACCAAACAGAATGTATTTTAGTAGGCTACCAAAATGAGAGAATTTGCTGTAAAGTTGACTGATATGCTGCACATTTCCATATGAGAGAATGTAGACCTACAACATGATCATTATGGGGCAATTTACCTTGGATTTTACTGGGTGCATCTACATGAGACGTTTACTGCAGTTGTCTAATTAGCTCCACAGTAAAGTCTCAGTATCTACATGTGTGACCCTATTAGGGCACAGGAAACTAATTAACTCTGCTGTAGGTTAGTACTTGTAAACACAAGCACTATCGTTCAGTAGCATTATTTAGTGAGCTGCGCTGCACATGTAGATGTTGATGGGGCTGGCTGGAGCATGAGGGTGCTTTACTGTGGGGGCTGCCTGCTGGCTAACCCTGCACTGGAACACCCTAGTGCCTCAGCCAGCCCCTCCACAACATGCTGAGCTGGATCAGAGAAGCCCGGGGTTGACAGGCTGACCTCTGGTTCCCCCTGCTGGCCAGGGTTGCTCTGACCCAACTCAACATGCTGTGGTCCCAGGTGCATATGTAAATGCTGTGCCCAGGAGCAATAAACTCCAATGTGAACTGCACTGGAGTTTATTAATTTGTATTAATAGTATGTGCAGATGCACCCACTGTGTAGTATATTTACTCCATAGTCAGGAGTGGACACAGGACCAGCTATCCCAAACTAGCTTCCTGCAGGAGGCTGCAATACAGTGCCTGGCAACTTTCAGTGAAAGAGCCAGCGTTCACTGAGAAAAGCTTACCTGGGGAGCAGACACATAAAAGGCTCTATGTAGAAAAGTTACTACAAGTTTTGAAAGGGTAACTTTCCTCTGGATCTGAATTAATTACTGCATAGCCGGGCTGTGCACGGGTACATCTCCTCCACTTTGACTACAGTATGTAGTATAAGATCAGTTTACTACATTATAGACCTGCCCATGCCCAGAGGGAAATCTGGTAGGGCTAAATTCTGTTCCATAATCCCAAACCCAGCTATAGATAAAAGTGGAATCTGGTCTCCAATCTCACTGGCACAACCTCTCCCAGGTCATTAGGATGTACAGGCAGTCCTCGCCTTACAACGCTTCAAGTTTCAACATTTCGCACTTACAACGTTTCTAAATTGACACCGTTTCAACTTTCTGATGTCAGTTTCAACTTTACAATGCTTGATCTGATGTGATGCCATGACAGCGAACAAGTTGCTGTGTCACCCATTTCCCTGAAGAACAGCTGTCCAAACTTCCTTGGACACGTTCTTTAAAAAAGTAGACAAGACTCCAGAAAAACCTGCAGCCAAGACTCCTGAGAAGAATACAGCCAAGAACCCTTCAAAAAGTCCCACCAAGAGCCTTTCAAAAAATCCAGCAAAGTCACCTCAAAGAAGTCCTTCCAAATCAATATGATTGCTATTTACAATATGAATACATTAATGTAGCAATATTACTCATCTATAATTGATTGAGTACAAAATTCGGGGGGGGGGTTGGGGAAAATAAAATATTGGGCCTTGGTTCAGGAACCAATCCCCCATTTATAACATTGTTCCTATGGGAAAATTGGTTCCAAGTTATGCCGTTTCGACTTAAGACATGGTTTTCAGGAACCAATTGTGTCATAAGTTCAAGGACTGCCGGTACAGGAATCAAGAACCAAACAACCACAAAACAGAATTCCTTCACGGTCTTGGAGGTTACCCATTATGACAACATCAAAACTGAGAAATGGTGGAAGCACTAGCTAGGGATAAGCACCAGATCTTTTCCTAGTGTGTTATCTAATCTTGTTCAGAGCACAGGCAGAAATAGCTGACTCAGCTAAAAGACGAGAAAAGAGAGGAAAAGGATACTGTCTGACTGCTTTCTCTCCATCACTGCAACAGTGGCTAATATCATAGTGGAACAGTATAAAAGAAGACACCCCATGTCTATCCTTGCAGCCATCAGCAGATGCCATGGTGAAGACAAAAGTAAACCAAGGGCATAATTTCCTTCCAGTCTGCCAGTGAAGATCAAACTTCAGTTACAGCTTCCAGTCTGTAATGTCCCCTATGAGAGACCATATCCTGCCCTATGAGGGATTTGGACTAGTGACCTAAAACAGAAAAAAATTCGAAGTCCCTTGATCTTTGGTAAAGTGCAGAATTCCAGACTCAGGCCTGACTTTTGCAAATGGTTCCTAGTTTTCTTACTGGCTAAACCAAATCCCTCCATCTGGGCACTGCAGAGCTTTGTAGGCTGTGGCAAATCCTTTGCAAAATGAATTCTTCTCTAGACCTCGGGTGTTCAAACCCTGGCCCAGAGGCCAGATCTGGCAGGGTTCCCCACACATAAGGTTCCCCACAGGTTTGAAAACTTGGTAGTGGGGGAGCAGGGGTAACATTAATTGCTGCTTCCTCGCTGCCAAATTTCTGGATCCATAGGGAGCCCTGTGCACTAGATAACATGGCCCTGCATACTAGTGACTGCAACCAGAGCAGAAAGTCTGATCCTAGGCACCAACCCCATGTGCGATCTGACTCAGGGGCCAAAAGGTTGGGTGCCACTGCTCTAGCCTGACAGCACATCTCTCTCTCTTTCTGTACCTACTATAACCCTCTGGTGCTTTGGGAGGCTGAAGTTATGTCTAAAGCTAACTGATAAGCTAAGTCATGTTCACTTCACTCATACATGCTTCATGGACATCAGTGATTTTGCTCATACAAAGCTAATCTTGCGAGTCATGATTTTCCCCAACTTGTTCACTAAGAGGAAGGGAAGCAGCAACCAAAGCAGCAGCCCCAGACATTTACTTTAACAAAAAAGTCAAACCAACCCACAGGAGCAGGAGAACCATGCAAGGTATAACTGTTAGTTCACAGGTGTTTTAACTTTGTGGTGAAAGACTGAATTCACGGTGGTAAATGCAACACAACAATATTAAAAAACAACAATCTATATGATGCACACAATGAGATGAATGCCTACAAGCACACTAAAGGATTTATTGATACCCCTCTAATAATGTAGTGCACAAAGCATGCATTCAGTATCAGTTAAATTTATGCATTTTGTAATAATGATGAATCTGTGTAACCAGCTCTTTTTCAACAGATGATGAAAAGCTTGGCAGTTACACGACACAGGGGCCAAAGCAAATATCTTTTTTGGTTCCTGTCCTGGTGGGTTCACCCCTCTTGAAGTTTGCTTTGAATTTCAGATTTATTAAATCTGAAAAACTCAAAACAAAAACTCGGTCAGAACCACGGAATTTCACAAGGATTTTGGCCTCAGACCATACATTAACTGTACGTTGGCTTGACAGATACACATACCACTGTGACATCTTTGACAAACATTACGGTTTGGATTTAAGGGTGTAATAAGGTCTAATTGTGTAGTTTAAAGTTTCATTGTTAACATTCAGCAAGGTTTTACTTTTTATTCCTCCTTCCAATTTGTCTTGAATTTCATGCACTCCTCACCTCTGTTTCTATTAATTTTGACCTTGCTTCCCCTGTACATTTCACAGGTCAATTTTTTTTAACTGAACTCTGTCTCTTCATCTTTCTATGATCTAAATCTTGTAGCCCCTATCAGGCACCCAACCCTACAGTCCATCTCTATATTTTACTCCAACTTCAGTTCTGCAAGCAGAAGGACTAAAGGATATCAGATGAAACTCCTGTTGTTTCACTCTGTGGCCAGATACAGACATTACACTTTTACTGGTATAAGTAATCAAAAAACAGTCAATACCCATAACAGAAAACAGGTTTGGCACAGATAGTTTGGTTTAAAAATGGTGAATCCTGGTCTAAGATTTGCATTCCCACCAAATGGCAAATGTGCATTCTGTTTGCTACCAATCTAAGCTATGCTGCTTACAGAAAACCATGTTATTTGGACTGATTCTGCCTACGGCTTTTTGAATGCCTCTACCTAACTTGTAACATCCTTGCTCAGAAAAGCCAAAGGACTGAAAGAGTCCAGCCTCATGTATTTTATCACACCTCTTCTTTCCTTTTCCATTTATCATTCTGCTCTATGGAAGAAATGTTTGTTGTCACATTGTCCCAGTACTCACTCTGTAGTTTGGTACCAAGAGGAAGGGAAACATGATGGTGAAAATAGAGCTCCAAACATATGTAAAGGTTTCCCTCACTTTATGCTGTACATGGGTTCCTGGAAAACGGTGCATAACTTGAATTCGCATAAAGTGAACCCACTTTACAATGTAACAAATTAGGAATATGTTCCAAGACCTCGACTGTACTGACCCCCAGACCCATTTCTACCACTTTTACAAGACAATTTTGGTACTCACCAACAGCAGACAGTACACACAAGCACAAGGAGCTATTATAATGGGGGTGACAACTACAGAAACACGTGTCACAGACAAAAAGTGAGGAGCACAGATCCACACAGGAGACTGTATTTTGGTGCGCATCACTCCCACAATGCACCACACAAAGCAGCTGACTGGGGGCTTCCACCACACTGATTGCATCAGAGTAAATTTACCTTGCATATAATGAATTCTTGGTATAAAAAGGGTCATTGCATAAAAGCGAATTTGCACACACAGAACCTGCATAAAGCGAGGGAAACCCACATAGGAATTAGGTACTAGACAATGTGAAAGTCAATATGAGATAAGTATTTTACTCCTCGAGGCATACTGAAAAAGTCACTGTGGATGAAGAACTATAAATAAAGTCTTAGGTCCCTGAACATTTAGGGCCTGGACAGAGGGCATATTTACCCTAGCATAATTTGCAATGTGTTATATACCAATGTAAATTATACTAGGACCAGAAGCAGGTAACTGCATGCACTATATGCTGCTACATCCTCTCAGTTGTAGGTGGCAGGGGAACAGGCCTGCCTCTGCCTTGAACAAATAGCTGCACTGTGATAAGCTGCAGAGAGATAATAGGGACACCAGTGTTTTTTTATCCCTTATTTTTTTCCTACAGCAATTCTCCACTGGATTTAAGTACGTTATA